CCCCCCCCGGCCGCCAGCTTCCCTAGTCTGGCCTCTGTGTAGTTATCCTGGTGACATGGGAGAATGAACCATGCATTTGTGACCCAGTTCTAATTATCCCCTTCTGTGATTAAGCTTTATAGGTGGTTATAGAAATCACCAAAGAGATAATTTATAAAATATCTATTTCTAAATTTTCCGAACCAAAAACATGATCATCTAAAAATTTGAGTGTTGCTAATATAAATTAAAGCTAAAAGATGGGCCAAAATTGAAAAGTTAAGTAGCATGATTTATGGGTGTGAATCCTTGGGGAAGCAGGCATTTTCCTAACACTGCTGGTGGGAATGCAGATGGCACCAGCCCTGGGGAGGGAATTTGGCAGCAAAATTACATATGCGCTTACTCTTTGTCAGGGCAGTTCTGCTTCTAGGAACTTCTCCTCAGATACACTGGGACACATACGAGGTCAGTGAAAAAGCTACTCATTGCAGTACTATTTGAGATAGGAAAGGGTTTTCAACAACGTAAGATTTCTATTAATAGGGAGCTGGTTGAATAGACTCCCGTGCTTCTGTCCAACGGAGCTCTGTGCAGCTGTAAGAGAGAGTAAGGAAACACTCCATGTTGCTAAGGAGAGGTAGGCAGGATAGATATGAAGTGAAAAAGCAAAGGTGGAGAAAAGTATGTGTGATACACTATTTTAAAAAGAAAGAATTCGAATAGATATGTGTTTGCATCTGTCTTAAAAAGGAAGGATAAACCATACTCGTACTTATTTTTTTAAGATTTTTTTTTTTATTTTTAAAGATTTTATTTATTTATTTGACAGAGACACAGTGAGAGAGGGAACACAAGCAGGGGGAGTGGGAGAGGGAGAAGCAGGCTTCCTGCGGAGCACAGAGCCCGATGCGGGGCTCGATCCCAGGACCCTGGGATCATGACCGGAGCCAAAGGCAGTCGCTTAACGACTGAGCCACCCAAGCGCCCCTTGTACTTAGTTTTTTAAAGCTGCCTGTGGGGAAAGGAGGGAACCAGGCTGGGGGTGGGACGCAAGTTGAAGCTGGACTTCTGACTGTACCTATTTTGTAGATTTGACTTTGGAACCATGTAGATACTGTACATTGTGACAAAACAAAATATGTAAAATGTTACGACTTTTTAAAATTTTGGTAGACATTGTCATTTTTCCCTAAAAAGTTTATACCCTATTTAGCTATCAGTGCTTGAGGAGAACTCTTTTCTCCCATACTTCTGCCAACACTGGATTACAGTCTTTCAAAACTTTGCCAGTCTGATAGGTGAAAAATAGTTGGCTATTTTCATCTGTGTTCCCCAATGACTAGAGCAGTTAAGCATCTTTTTATTCATTTATTAGCCCTTTGTATTTCTTCTCTGAAATGCAAGTTCATAGCTTTTTTTGGTAAGAAAGATTTTTCTATTGATTTGTAAAAACTCTTTATATGTTGTGGATACAGTTTTCATTTGTTGATTATTACCAGGTTCCTGACCTCATTTCCAGTTAAGTTGTTCAGGCCCTTGGGTGTAGTAGCTGGTTGTTTTTCTCTTGTCACATAGTACAGGTTTTATACAAGGACATTATGTATGATATATTTGAAATGCTTATATCATATATCAAGTAACTTGGACCAACTTTCCCTAAACTGTTCAGGTGCTGGACGTCAGTTTGTGAGCTCTTTGGAGTGATAGCAACTGTGTTTTCTTTCCTTTTTAAAATGTTCCTGTGGCTTACTACCTTGTCTGAGTGGTAGGTGGTCGGTGAATGTCCACTTGAGTTGATTTTTAGTGAATGTATAAACTAAATTTGATTGTTTCTTGGGTTTGAGACTTGATTTTTAACGACCCATGATGGTCATTTTTATGTTCTGTTCAGTTGAGAATCTGAACGAGTCTGTCATTTTTGATTAAAAAAATATATATGGTGAAAGTAGATTTTGAAAAAGTTTGTATAGTTGTTAGCATTTGTCCTTTGTTCATTGCTCTATCGCCTGTATTTCTTGTTTCTTTCTAGGTCATCACTCCATGTAGGAAGCTCATCTTGTGTGCCGATAACAGGAAAGAAATGGAAGAGTGGATCGCAGCGCTGAAGACCGTCCAGAACAGGGAGCACTTTGAGGTTTGGAAAGAGAAACATCCCTTCTTGTTACCCGCCCATTAATATTCTGCCATCGAGCATCAACCATGTGTGGACTGAGCAGTCTGGCACTCACTTTCTCAGCATGTTCTTTGTAAAATTAAGGCTCATTGCTCGTCCTTTTGGCTGACTCTGTTCTCTCCTCTCTCGGAAGCTTTACTGAATCCCGTTCAAGTTACCACATTCAAGGATGTCGAAGGGACACCTTATCTTTGCCATCCCTCTTTTCTTCTTCCAGCCTACCCAGTACAGCATGGATCATTTCTCAGGGATGCACAACTGGTACGCCTGCTCCCACGCGAGGCCGACCTACTGCAATGTGTGCCGGGAGGCTCTGTCAGGGGTCACGTCACACGGGCTGTCCTGTGAAGGTATGAGTGGCGTGTTAGTCTGCTGGGAAATGTGGCCTGAGGTTTGACTTGACAAAGCCTTAGAAACCCTTGAATGGTCCCCACAAATCCGTCAGTGTAAAGTAATTTTTGGGTCTATGTGCTTGTTTATTTTACCTACTAAGGAGTCTGATAAATTATTTTGTATAGTAACAGAACAAAGTAAAAAGGGAAGTGGTGGTGATAAGGAGGCTTGAAGAGGAAACATGAAAGACACAGGGGAAAAGAGGTTGAAAATCTGTCCTCCCCGAGGTAGTTAGACCCCCTCGGTAAACTGAGCTGTGGATAAACAGATTAAATGTGGTCTTCCAGATCTGGAGTGTCGGTTGTAGTGGTTGCACAGGAGCAGAGGTCAGGAGCAAAAGCTGACAAGCTCTGGACCTTGGGCCAGTTCCCACCTGCTGCCTGTGTTTGTACAACCTGTGAGGTTAAGACTAACGGTTTGTACATTTTAAATGGTTGCGGGGCACCTGGGTGGCTCAGTTGGTTAAGCATCCGACTCTTGATTTTGGCTCAGGTTATGATCTCAGGGTGGTGAGATTGAGCTGTTATGTTGGGCTCCGTGCTCAGCGCAGAGTCTGCTTGTCCCTCTCCCTCTGTCCATGCCACCCCCCACCCCCCACCCCCAAGCACTCTCACTCTCTCGAATAAAAAAATTTTTTTCTTTTAAGATTTATTTATTAGAGAGAGAGTGTAAGCAGGGGGTGGGGCAGAGGGAGAGGAAGAAGCAGACTCCCCACTGAGTGTGGAGCCCAACACAGGGCTTGATCTCAGGATCCTGAGATCATGACCGGAGCTGAAATCAAGAGTTGGATACATAACCAACTCAGCCACTCAGGGGCCCCAAAATAAATGAAATCTTAAAAAAAGGGGGGGGAGACAATTTTGTGACATAGAAATCCTGTGATTTCTAAATTTTGGTGACCGTACATGCAGCATGGTTCGCGGGGGTGCTTGTGTTGCTGGGCAGGGCTGAGGAGTTGGGTCAGAACCTGTGTGTGGCCCCCCGAAACGGACTCCCGCTGTCCAGGATGCTGGTCTCACTGCTCAAACTCTGCGCATACCCCTGCCGTGTAGTTTACAACATGGGGAGCGCTCCGTGTTCGTACCCAGCCGTCCTAGAGGAGCAGGGCAGGTCCTGCTGGACCACCTCCTCAAGCATGGGAAGCACCGTGCTGGACAAGGCTTGAAAAAGTTGGGGCTTGAGGGTCCCGTGTCTATTCTCTCGCAGTGTGCAAATTTAAGGCCCACAAACGGTGTGCTGTGCGTGCAACCAACAACTGCAAGTGGACCACGCTGGCCTCCATTGGGAAGGACATCATTGAAGACGAGGACGGGGTATGCCTGGGGGGAGCCTGCCCACGGGGCCCTGCGCCGGGGCAGCCAACCCTGCATCAACCCTCTCCACCTCATGCTGGCATCGGGGCAAGCCCCCCCACCCCCCACTGGCCTGTGCTCACTTCTCTTGCTCGCACTGGGTGTGAGGGGCTCTGCACGGTCTGCTGTGCCTCTCAGCCTGGCCAGCCTTGTGAGTCGTGCTGTGCCCACTGGCAGCAGGAGTGGGGCGCCGGGCAGCTTGCTGCAGACCCTGCCTTCCCCCTGCTTGTGTCAAGGAGCAGGTCTTGGTTGAGTTTATTTCAGAGCATTTTTGTGTGAGGGCTTCCTCACCTGTGTGTGGGGCTCTGGGGACGACCCTGGTGCACACGTCTCTGTGGTTTGCAGATCGCCATGCCGCACCAGTGGCTGGAAGGAAACCTGCCCGTGAGTGCCAAGTGCACGGTGTGCGACAAGACGTGTGGCAGCGTGCTGCGCCTCCAGGACTGGCGCTGCCTCTGGTGCAAGGCCATGGTGAGTGGGCGTGGCCACACAGGCCTGGTACCTGCTCCCCGTACGTTCTCAGTCGGCCCCCAAGTGTCCACTGCCGCAGTGGCAGGGAGAGTTCTGGGGCATGCCGGTGACCCCTTGTGATGTGTTTCAGGTGCACACGTCATGTAAAGAGTCCTTACAGACCAAGTGCCCGCTGGGCCTGTGCAAGGTGTCGGTCATCCCGCCCACTGCGCTCAACAGCATCGATTCTGACGGTGGGTGCCTCATGCTCTCCTGGCTCACCTATGTTCTTCCCTCCCCTGTGCCGGAATGAATGACCCTGGTGATTTGGGGATGTGGTCAGGAAGTGGTCAGGACAGGCAGCTGGGGAGAGAAGACGTGCATAGAGGTGGTAAATGGAGTCCCGTGGCCATTGGGCACACTTGGACGGAGCCGTGCGCTGTGCTCTCTGTCTGCTGGCTTCCATCTGGCCGCAGATGTGGATCAGTGTTCACCTGCACCTGCTCACCTGTCCAGATGGTAGATGGCGATGTGTGTTAACAGGCCTTGGTAGAAGGTAGGAAACTGGGGTACGGATGTTAGGAACTAGCTCCTCCAGATTGAGAGCAAGAGGGAAGGACAGCAGTGAAGTGAATGGTCTTTCTGAAACTGAGTCATGTAAGCACAAGGTCAAACTGCATGGGACCACCATCCTTCTCCGTGGGGAATGGGGATGGGGAAGAATGTTTATTGATCTCTGGCTGGTGACTGTGCACATGGAATTTACAGGTCTCTTGCAGGTGTTGGCGGCTTTTTATATGATGGAGCCCCCGCTGGGATCTTGGATAGCTTTCTCATTCTCTCCTCTCCCTTTCCATCCTCACATCCAGGCTTCTGGAAGGCCACGTGCCCTCCGTCCTGCACAAGCCCATTGTTGGTCTTTGTCAATTCCAAGAGTGGGGACAACCAGGGTGTGAAGTTCCTCAGAAGATTCAAACAGCTGCTGAACCCCGCCCAAGTCTTTGACCTCATGAACGGAGGACCACACCTCGGGTAGGAAGGTTATAAAATAGATCTTTCTTGGAGTTTTAAAAATGTTTGAAGATAATGCATTGCTCATGAACAAAATGATTCAAAAATACAGACAAATTTAAATAGGAAATAAACATAGTCTTTGTTGAACAGTGAATAGAGCTGCATGTTTTTCTAGCTTTCATGTGTGTAGTTCACTTGTGCAGACACACTTCTAAATTGGGTTCCCTGCCATTACCTCCTGTTGTACTGCCTGCTCTTCGCATCTGTCAGCATGGGCATGTTCTTATGTCAGTGATTACAGGTCCGCCTCATTCTTTTTAGTGGTGCCTGGTACTAAGGAGGACGTTTTTCTCCAGCGAGGCCACCAGGGAGAGTCTTCATTTTGGGAGGGCACAGGAGGTCTCTTACCTCACAGGTACACTGTACTTTCAGGTCCCGTGACACGTGCAGACATGTGAAGCCCAGTGTATGGGGCAAAGGAATTATGCCTTTTATTTGTTAGCTGGAGATCTGAGGTGTGTTCTTTCTACTTTTGTACATTGTGTAGTTTGTGGAGAACATTTGCTGCTGTAAGTTGGGTCATTTGAATGAACTCAGCTTCCTTGCTTCAAGGCAGCACCAGTTCAAGGTAGGAACTCTAAGAGGCCGCCTTGCCTGGAAGGGAGATTGTCCAGGATATTTGTTGTGGAAAGAGCTTGCAGAACGTGTTCTCTGGTGTGTATTTGCCTTGGAGGCTCCTAGGAGTGTGTTGTTTTGGAGCCAGGTGTTGCTGGAACAGGAGCCTGGGCACCTGGCAGGGGAGAGGAGCATGCCCACCGGCGCCCTAGGGGTCTGGCGTGTCGCTTGTCCCCACAGGCAGCAAGGCACTGTTGGGGAGCATCACGGGTGGCAGCTTGCTGGCCTGGTCCTCCGAGGCCGCGCTCCACGCATTTCTGCAGGTGGACTGATGAACTGTTGGTCTGTGTGTGGGAGCACGTTCACTATTGGCTTGATAAATGATCTTTAAAAAAAAAAAATCATTTTAGTTAAAAAATGGGACCAGTGGCGGGATCATCCAAAGCCCTCGTATCGCTAACAAGTCTGGGCCTTTACCCAGCAGGGCACTGGGGTCGTCGGGTGGGGGCTGAGGAATGGGCGGGGCAGGCTGACCACACAGCACAACCTGAGAACAGCCGAGTGCGCATCTCGGTGTGCGCGCAAAACCCCGCAGTTGGCCGTAAAGTCGCGGGGGACCAGCTGGCTTCGGAAGCTCCACACAGAGCTGCTGTGGGTGCTGGTTTAGTAAGTTCCCGTTTCTGGGAATCAGCCTTGACCTCCTGCAGTTCACCTCAAAACTGGAGATACTGCTTCATTTTCCCGATTCCCAGCCTGGATGTGTCACACCTCCTTCAGAGAAGGAAAGCCTGAGAGAGGCCATTGTTCGCAAGGGAACACACCTGGCCATTTTTCTCACAACCTGAGGTGCAGCCTTGCTGCTTCAGGCCCTCAGCCCTGTTGGTAGCCTGAGTTTTGTGCTGTGTCACTCATCCCTGTTTGTTTTCTGAGGACTTCCTCTGGCTGGGGACTCTGCCAGATGCAAGGCCAAGTAAGGTGGGGTCCTTGTGTTCAGGGTGCGCAGCACGCAAACGGGTAGTCAAGGTCACAAGACAGGGCGATGTACAGATTCTTTAGGAACCCAGGGAAGGAGCATACAAATGAGCCTGGAAAGTCTCTCAGTTTCTCTGCTGAGCTGGTGTTGGAGAAAGTGGCAGAGAGGAGGCGGGCAGCCTGCTAGGCAGAGGTGCTGTGTGTGCAGGGAGGTGAGGACACGGTGGCGTGGCTGGGCGAGCCGTGGAGCTGAGGCAGGTGGCAGGCAGCTCCTGGCCGAGAGTTTTGAACCTTTGCTGGAAACAAGTGGCAGCTTCTAAAGCTAGACACTCAGGGCGCCTGGGTGGCTCAGTCAGTTAGGCATCAAACTCTTGATTTCAGACAGGTCTTGATCTCAGGGTTGTGAGTTCAAGCTCCATGTTGGGCTCCACGCCGGGTATGAAGCCTACTTAAAAGACTAAAGCTAGACACTCAATGAGACTTTTGGGAAGGTCCTGCCGGTGGCGTGAATTGGAGGTATCCCGAAGGAGACATGAGGTAGGTAGGAGGCTCTTGTAGGGATTACGAGAGAAGCTATGGTGGGGATGATGAGGTCTGGCCCTGAAACTGGGTTCATGGTGATGCCCTTCTCCAAGTAAGGAAGCTTAGGACGAGGAGGTGCCCGAGGGATATGGAGTGATGCGTTCTGGTAGAGGGTGAAGTGTTGCCCTTCAGGAAGATCTAGAGGTCATCATGCAAGGTCATTGGTGTCTATGTGGTCCCTGAAGCCACAAACCTGGATAAGGAGGGTAAGGAATGAGCAGAAGGCTGTGCGTGTTCTGAAGGGACATTGTTGTAGCAAGATGAGCAAGAGGAGGAGCACCAGGAGGGAGACGGAGATGGATTCGAGGGGAGCTTGATGGGTCTCACACTTGGGATGGAGGGGCGTGGACAGACTCCTGCAGCCTAGGGCTCCTGAGCTGTGTGAGTGAGGGGCAATGGGCACAGAGGCGTGGGTGGGTGGCTCAGTGGGCTGAGCCTGAGCACACCTGGGCTCTGGCTGCCAGAGCCCTATTCACAGCGGGGGCACAGGTCAGTCGAGAGGAGTGCAGATGGGGCCTTTTGGCTCAGGACTCATTAGCCATCATTTGTCTTTTAGAATGAACCTCATTTCTTTGACATTCTCTTTTCTCTGCAGCTTACGCTTATTCCAGAAGTTTGATACATTCCGGATTCTGGTTTGTGGTGGGGATGGCAGTGTTGGTTGGGTTCTCTCTGAAATCGACAGCCTCAATCTTCATAAACAGGTACGTGGACGTGGAGGGGCCTAGCCAGGGGAGAGCGATGCTGCGGTTCTGTGATGCTCCTTGTCCCCTCGGCAGGGTGCGGCGAAGGGCTCGGAGGGAAGAGCAGGCAGCCTAATGGCGCCACGGGGCTCAGGAGCTGTGTTGTAGGAATGGGAACTTCACAGGTAGAAGTGAAGGGAGCTACGAAAGAACATTCTAGTCCCTGGAGGTCCCAGGCAGGAGCAAGTTGGCTGGGACTGCCATCCCATGGCACCCCTCCAGCTTTTATTTGGTAGTGATAGAATCTGCTGCCTGGGAGGCCTCCTGCTTGTGGGGAGGGGGCAGAAGTAGACTTGAACGTCAGGTCACAGTTAGGGTTCATCAGACTTAACCTCTCTCGCGTTTTTTTCTTTTTCTTTCTTTTCTTTTTTTTTGCAATTAAAAATAGATTTTCCTGATTGGAAAACAAAAAAGTGTTCATTGATTTTTCCACTCTGCTCTATCGTCTTCATTCCCCACCCCCCAACGTTAACCACTGCTGCTAACTTTTCGGTGACTGTCTTTCAGACCTCCTGTTGACATATATTATATATATATCGTATAAGATATGTTGTGGTCTTAATTTAAACAGACCCACATTACCCATGCTGTCCTGTTACTGCATTTTGCGTTGTGATGCTCATCAGTAAATAGAGAGCCTTGTGATGGTTTTCCGTTGGCGGAGCCGTGCGGCCAAGGTTGGCTTGCCTCCCTGCTCCGTGGGGGTTTAGGTTGCTCTCGGTAGGGGCTGTGCCAGCTTACCTTCCTGATGCTGCAAAAGCTGCCCCTTCCCCTTCACTGTCTGTTGCTCATCTTCTTAGTTTTGCCCAACTAAGTAGACAAAAAAGGTATGCTTGATTTTTATTTCTTCAATACTGATGAAGTCAAACATCTCAGTTAACTATGAATTTTTAGATGAATCAGATGTTCATGTTTTTTGCCTAGTTTTCTGTTAGGGTATTTACCTTTTTAAAAGATTTGATTTCTAAGGGTTATTGTTATATTAGGGATATAAATTCCTTGTTGGTCATATTTTTCCTAGTTTGTCATTTGCTTTCAACATACGTTTTTCAAATCTTCAACCTGACTTGAGCATATTTTTCAGAGACTTAGCCTTCTCTCTCGACTCTTAGTGTTGGTGGTTTTGCTAGGTGGGTGGACTTTTGTTGTCTGTGGTTAGCCCTGGACTCGGGGATAATGTTGAGAGGTGGCCCAACTGAACCCGGCCTGTGCAGGTGTACTGCTCAGCTTAGGCACATACTGCCCCCTAGTGGTGAAGGTGGACCAGTACACTTGGGTGCAGGATTATCACTAGTCAGGAAGCCAGGGAGGCCAGTCATTTGTTTACATCCATTCAGCTGAGTTCAGTGAGCATCCATCTCCTTTGGCTTCTCTGTGGCACTTGGTCCTGGTCACTCCCTCACTTTCCTGGCTTCCCTGAGACCCCACCCTCACCCTCTCTCTTGTTTCTCTTTTTCCTGGCTGCCCTCCAGCCTGCCTACCTGCCTCATAGTGCCTCAAGCCTGGCATTTTCAGCACTGAGCCCACCGCTCAGCCCCACTCACCCTGCATTTCTTTCCTTGGAGTCTGAAACTATCGTTCACCAGACATCCAAGCCAGAATTCTCAGTCGTTCTGGATTCTTCCCTCACCCTCCCTCATTTCTAGTTGATAACTGGAGTTAACTGCCACCCCAGAGTGTCGAGGCCGCCTCCTATGTGCTGCTGAGTACACCTCAGCTGACCCTGGGCCTCTGTCCGTCCAGGCCTCTGTCCGTCCACTTCTCACCGGGGGTCTTCCCCACAGACAGTTTTGCTCACTCACCCGCTCTGCTGAGTGTTCTTTGGTGGCTCTTTGGCTTTTAGGATAAAGTCCAAACTCTAACATAGTTTATCGGAGCCCCTGATGTGGCTCCTTCTTCATCTCTGCTTCTTTGACTTCCTCTCTCCTGACTTGGCAGGTGGTTTACCTCTCCACCTGGAACACCACTGTGTCTTCAGTGCACTGCCTGCTCCTTTTCTTTAAGGCTCCAGCCCCCCTTCCTCTCTGTGTGGCGTGCTGGGCTTCCTAGTCCTTGTGAAGGACTGACTGCTTCCACACGCTGCATGCGGAGCTGGAGGCCGAGTTCTTGGGCATTCAGTGTCTAGGGAGCTCCCTGAGCCCGAACTGGCCCGATGATAGTTCCAGCTGGAGGGCTGGGCCTGAGCAGCGCACACATCACTCTGGGGAGGGTCAGGTGGAAGGTTGTAGGCTGAGCGCGGGGGCATGCTCAGGTTTGGTGACCAGACTGTGGATGTCCTGGCTCCTGTTTTTGGTAGGACTTAAAAGCCAGGAGTGAAACGACACTAGTAATGTTTTTGGAAGATGGTCCTGGCATTAGTGACTAAGATGGGGGGGGGCTCAGAATAATTCTCGATAGGGGTTCACAGATACTCAAGGAAGGGACAGGATTGTGGCCATAGCAGTGAAAATGGGAAGGAAGGGGATTTCGAAAATCTACATCAGAGAGGATGTAGAGGATTAAGTGTCAAGATGAGAAATGGGCATGGGAGAGGGTGGGTCAGATGGTTCTGTAATCTTCTCTTGGATTAGAAGATCCTCTGTCTTGTCTAGTGGGCTCTGCCTAGACTATGAGAGCCAACCCATCTTAGAGGAGACCGCTCGCTGAACTTAGCCACTGTGGTAGGTAACAAGGAGGGTGTTTAATGCCGTGTCTTGCCCTCTGTGTCCTGCTAGTGTCAGCTGGGAGTGCTGCCCCTCGGCACAGGGAACGACCTGGCCCGAGTGTTAGGCTGGGGCTCAGCCTGTGACGATGACACCCAGCTCCCGCAGATCTTGGAAAAGCTGGAACGAGCCAGCACCAAGATGCTCGACCGGTGAGTGGAGGGCGTTCTCGTGCCACACAAGGCAGGTCACCTTGACCAGGTGTTCTCAGCCTGGACCCCCCGGAGAACACAGGTCCTGTGCAACTGTTTGTAGGAATTGGACCTGAATGAGAATTATCGAATCAGTGTGTTGTACGCCTGAAACTAACATAAACACTGGATGTGAATTACACTTCGATAAAAAACATAAAAGAGTCAGACCGACCTGGGATATAAATCCCTGCCCTGTCACTGAGAGTTGCATGAACTTGAACATTCTACTCAGTCTCACTGTGTCTTAGATTCCTTGTCAGGAAAAGAAAAGTAATCCCAGCTGCCTTGCGGGGGTGTTGAGAGATGAGTTAATTCATTTGGTCAATTCAACTAGAGTTTGTTGGAAAAAAAAAATTAGACCTGAGCAGGAATTCTTTTTTTCTGGTAGTTTCTAACTTTTCATCAGATTATGCAGAAGGTTAGAACAACCAGAACAGGTGAGGAACCGTGCCCTTGAGTGGTCGGGGTGTGGTGAGGCCTTGGGGGTGTTGGAGAGGGTGGCTCTGCCCCCTGCGGACACCTATCAGCAGAGTCATCCTCACCATAAGGCTGAGTGATCCCATTTCTCCACATTCTGTTCCCAGAAGAATCTAAGTTCTGGGTAATTGTCCTGGGTAGGTTTAAAAATACTTTGGCATCCTTTTTGAGTGAGCTACTTTTAGTTCTGAGCTGGATGTAGGAAATCCCACTAACCACATGCCTGTGGTAAATTGGTTTCATTGCAAATGCTTCATGGTCTTGGGAAGGGTCCCACAGTTGTGATTGGCGGTGTGATTTTGAGCACACTCTGGCCGCCCCTGCCATGTCTTCTCTCTTTAAGGGAGGTGTACGCGCCTTGGTGCCCGTGAAATGCTCACGCCCGGGGAGCTGGCTGCTGGCTGGGGGTGCTGACGCTCTGCAGAGGGGGAACCCATCTTGCAGAAGCAGATGTTCCTTCGTGGGATCCCTTTCCCCTCCTTCGGGGGGGTTGCATGCCTTCCTGGTTGTGACGTTTGTTCTCAGCTCAGTGAGGAGCCAAGTTATGGGCTGCACAGTAGAGATAAAGGGCCTACAGATGAAGTCAGGTTGTCAGCCTCGCCGGGGGGGCTGGACCGACCTGCTGAGAGCTGCCTTTGTGTGCGCAGGTGGAGCGTCATGGCTTACGAGACCAGACTCCCTCGGCAGGCCTCCTCTTCCACGGGCACTGAGGACTTCAGTGAGGGCTCTGAGGTATTTGCACCATCCCACCGGCCCACTCACCAGTTCAGGCTGCGTCCCCCGCCCTCCAGTGATGAGCCGTGAGCCACTCGTTAAATGTCCTGCCCGAGGTCGGCCCAGCAGAGGTGCAGGCTCAGCCCGGGGGTCGTGCTGGAGCTGAGCAAATTCTGACTACCTTGTGGGCTTTGGGGTCATCTGGGGGCTTCCCAGGGTTACCCCAGGATTTGGGGTCCCTTGTGATGACAGTCTCCCAGGACTTCCTGCTCTCACAGCATATACTCCTGAGGCTGCGCCCCTGCTGCCATTGTCCCCTCTGGGCCCTGGGCTCCCTCTCTGATCCCACCCCTTCTAGAACCCCCTCCATCCTGCCGCCCTTGTGGGTAGCCTATGCTAGTTCAGTGTTCAGCTCTTCTCTTCATTTTATGGTTGCTTCTGTGACTTACTTGTTCCCTCAGGGCCTAGACTTTGCCCAGACTAGTGTAGCGTCAGGCACATAGCCATGCTCATCCCCACTGGGCAAGCTGGCTGCTGTCTGAGCAGAGAGAATGCTCTGCCAAGGGCTGTCTCTCCGCCAGGAGGGTCAAGGACAATGGGCTAGGGCAGTGGTCAGCAAACAGTGACCCCCCCCAGCTCCAGTCTGCCCGGGCCTGCTCTGACCTGGCCTACGAGCAAAGAATGGTTTGTATGTTTTGAGAGAGGAAGAATACAGAGTGTAAAGCCTGAAATATTTACAATCTGGCTGGCCCTGGGCTTGGGCCTAGAGGGATTGTCACATGGTAATCCTGTATCAGCAGGTGGAGGTGAATGGTGAGGGGGTCATTTACACCTTGAGGAGAGGGGCCAGGGCTAAGTCCCAACCAGAAAGAGAAATGCGTTGTCTGCTGTGAATGGAGCCTCAGTTGAGGAGGCCTGCCTGTTGGCCTTGCTGCCATAAGGTACCAGGATTAAAGACTGCACTTCCTAGCACAGCGTGGGGTGTGCAGTCAGACTAAAGTAGTGCGAGCTGTCTGCAAGATTGGATCCACGTGGTCTTTTTTGTTAAGATCCGTCTGTCCACAGCCTGATGAAGCTTTTGAAATCTTTCCGCCAGCACTGGCAAATCTCAGATTGGTGTGTGAAGTGAGCGGAGGTCCCAGGCTAGCAGGGGAAGTGGGCGAGGAGTTCACTGGGAGCTTCCAGTCACCCCACCCTGTCTTGGGATAACCATAGGTGCAACAAATTCTCTTCTATGAAGATTCAGTCGCGGCCCATCTTTCTAAAATCCTGACCTCCGACCAGCACTCGGTGGTGATCTCATCAGCCAAGTGAGTGCCTGCCGGCTTCGGGGGAGCCAGGGGTCAACCTTGCAGGGTGCCCGCTTCCCAGGCAGAACTTTCTCTGGAAGTGTCTTTCCACGTTTCCCCCCCCCAGAGTGCTCTGCGAGACGGTGAAGGACTTCGTGGCTCGGGTGGGGAAGGCCTACGAGAAGACCACCGAGAGCTCGGAGGAGTCAGAGGTCATGGCCAAGAAGGTCCGTCCCTGGCCCCCTGGGCGGGGGGGCATAGGAGGGAGAAGCACTCCGCCCCATTCTGTTTGTTTTCCGCCAGTGCTCTGTCCTGAAAGAGAAGCTGGACTCTCTCCTCAAGACCCTGGATGATGAGTCCCAGGCTTCGTCCTCCCTGCCCACCCCGCCCCCCACCATCGCCGAGGAGGCGGAAGATGGAGACGGGGCGGGCAGCGGCTGCGGCTCCACGGGGGAGCGCTCGCTGGGGTCGGCGTGCCCCGGCCGGCCGCAGATATTCCGTCCACGGGAGCAACTCATGCTCAGAGCCAACAGCCTGAAGAAAGCCATCCGTCAGATTATAGAACACACAGAGAAAGGTATTGGGTCTCTTAATGATGAAGTAGCTTTCTTCAGCAAGCACTGGGCTCTCCCGTTTTCCCCCAAATATGGTGACAAACAGGAATCCACCGTGTGGGCCACGGCCAGACGCCCCAAGGTCACTTGCAGCCTGTGTGGTGGCAGCGCCTTGTATCCGAGCGCCCTGGGGCACACGCTCCCTCCTCACTACACTTGTGTCTGATGGAAGGACTGGAGGGCAGAGCAGGATGGTGCCCCCAGCAGGGGAAGATGTAAATGGGTCCTTGGGTGGGGGACCTCTCCCTGGAAGGGGCCTGGCCTGCGCTAACTGCCAGACCTCGGGTGCAGCTTGGCACAAACAGGTGGTAGCGGCAGATGTGGAGGGAGCCTCTCTGAGGAGGGGGGGCTTGTTCCTGGGGTGGGGGGCGTTCTGAGAAGAGGCTCACACTTGGTTGGAACCGAGGAGCTCTGAGGACGTCCCGAGAGGGGGGCCCTGTGAGAGGTGGGCCTGGCCCGGGGTGTTGGGTGAGGCTGTCAGCTGAGGGCTGAGAAGAGAGGCTCGCACGGGCACTGCTGCATCGAGGGGTGGGAGGCCAGGTGAGCTGGAGGTGGTCAGAGCAGTGGGGCGCACTGCGGGGTCCCAGGTGGGGCCAGCTGCGATGCAGAGGGTGCTCGGGGCCTGGTGGCCAGGCTGCCGACTCTCCATGATGAGCCTGGGGGTGGTGGGTAGGTGGACTGTGTTGGATTAAAGACTTGCCGGCTGGTCGCTCCCTTTTTCTAGACTTGGTTTCTAAGCTTTGAAGGGAACGCTGCAAATGCATGGTGACCTGTGGACTTCTTGCGTCCGGCCTCCCTCGAGCCGTGTTGTCCTTGATCTGTGTGCTCTCTCATAACCCTCAGAAACCGTTTCACCCTGCTGCCACCCACCCCAGACCCCTCCCAGCAGACCATCTTCCTCGTCCTCCAATGAGAAGCATGGCTTGTGACCCGCCCCCTCTGGTGTGTTCACGCCAGCCCTGCTCCTGGCTGACAGTCAGGTGGAGGCCCCGTGTGCCCTCACTCTTCTCACCTTTTCCACGCCTTCCAGCCGCTCGGCTCTCTCCCTTCTCCCCAGCCCATCCACACGGATGCCCAGTGCCCCGCGTCCTCGCAGGGCTGGTTGGACGGTGGGGGCGGGGTGGCCGCTTCCGGCCATGAGCCTTCAGCTGAGAGCACGTCTGAAGAGAGTTGACGGGGAGGAGGAGGGGAGCCTGTGTTGCGCAGGCACCCTGCGGGCCGGGCACTGTCCGTGCGCTCTGCCGTGGCACGCTCAGCTGCAGGTCTTCTTCCCTTGCACAGCTGTTGACGAGCAGAACGCCCAGACCCAGGAACAGGAGGGGTTTGCCTTAGGTCTCTCTGAGTCGGAGGAGAAAAAAGACCTGAAGTCAGATGACAGAGTGTGTCCCACCGAGAGCTACGGGGTTACCAAGGGCAGGAGCCTCCGCAAAGGTACCGGTCAGTCCTGAAGACCCCATCACTGTGATTGGGCCCCTGGGGTTTGCCATAGTCAGAAAGCTTGCCCTGGGAAGTTTTAGGATGTGTAAAAAGTCACGAACACGCAGCCTGTTTCCATGCACCACCTCCCTTATCTGGGGAAGGCCCAGCCGGACCCCCACAGGAAGGAGTGTGCTTTCCTCAGAACCTGCCATGCACCCCAGACCCCGCAGGGCTCAGGCCTGTGGGTCCTCCTGGTGCACCAGGGGTCCCAACCTGGGGCTCAGGCACCCCTGGCTGCAGCCAGCCAGACACTGTGCACCTATGCACATTGCTCCGGGCCAGGCTGCCTGGCATTTTGGCCAGGGTGCCACCTAGCCCTATGGGCTGTCCGCCTGGGGACCCTTCTCCCTCCCGGAGCAGCTCCCTAGCCCAGGCACTGCCTCCCCCACTGACTGTGTGTAGCCCCCTCCCTCGTAGCCTGTACACCTGCTGGGAGGTGTCTGTCTAAGCATTTCCTCCGTGATCACTATTGCTCTGAGCTCCACTCTGCACATGCACGGACGCCCACAGCCCAGACTGACCGGGATGCAGCCCGGCCTCCCCATCCCAGTCTCGGCAGTGCCTGTGTCACCCTCTAGAGGGCGTCCAGACCCACTTGCCTCTCCGGCCCGTTCCCATTTCCCCTCCTCTCTCCTGGGCCTCTTGATTCGTCTCGCACACACTGCGGGGGAGCTGACAACCCTTCCTCGCTCCCCTCAGTCCTTACAATGGTTGTTTCTCTAATGACCTCTCCCAGTGCTTCAGTAATGTTCTATTTTGGATGGTTTTATGGCTTGCTGTTCTGTTTTTGTAGTGTCCAGATCCCCATGTGAGAAGCTGATAAGCAAAGGAAGTTTGTCCCTGGGCAGTTCTGCCTCTCTTCCTCCCCAGTCAGGAAACCGGGATGGCCTGCCAGCCCTGAACACCAAGATCCTGTTCTCGAGTGAGTGTCCCCCGTAGGTTGGCCATGCGTGTCTGTGGGCCGGTGCGGGTGGGGTGCTAACCTGCCAGCTAGCAAGATCAAGGGCCTGTCGCTTTGCCTGGCACTGAGTCTGTGGGAACGAATGTGAGACTATGTCGTTGTCCTTCAAGAGCTTATATATAGGTCTGGGGGGAGGTTTCAAAGTTACGTCATGGCACAAAAAGTGTCTTTATTTATTATTAAGGGCAGACAGCACCCAAATTGCTGCCAGAGGCCCCAGGAAGATGTCATTGAGGAGGTGATAACTTGAGCTGGGTCCTGAAGGATGAATAGGAGTTATCCTGAGTGAAAAGGGAGGGGCGGGCAGGGTGTGATGGGGCGCCAAGCGAGTCACCCTGTCATTTCTAGCATGATTGTAGGAGGGCACAACTGGCCACCAGGAAAGTGGTGTCTCTGTCTCTGCTTTCATTTTGCCCAAGTTAGGGTCGAGGTAGTCTTCCCTCCAGAGGGACGGTGGCAGTACTCTATGTCTGCCGAAGGGGGAAGGAGTAGCACAGGGGGTTGAGGTTGCCGATAAGAGCCCCCGAACCAGCTTCAGGCGACTTCCTGAGGCCTCCTGGGCCCGGCAGAGCGCACGCCACACCATCTGCTCCCATAAGTGATTTGGCAATTTCTAGGTGAATCTCAACTGAGTAGAAAAAAAATTCCAGAAGTCCTTGGGACATGAGGCTAATGAGATGTATTTGGTTAATCAGAGACATAATTGTCACCAGAAGGGGTTAATTGGCAGAAGGTTTAAAAGCAGAGCTCCATCTCTGCCTTAATGTTTATGACTTAAAATTTGTAAGTTGGTGCAGGTTCCTTGGGGATTCTGGGCACTTGGGCTGTTCCCTGTTTACGACTCCGGAATGTAGCCTCACAAAGCCATACAACTGAGCGTTAGGATTACTTGTACTGAGAGATCATTTCGGTGGAGCTTCTTACATGTAATGAGTACGGTCTTTATAAACTGTTCTTTACTGTGTCTTCAGGTGGTGGTTTCTGCCACCCGGTGTGTTTGTTTTTGCTCCGTGAATAGGGATTTATGATGGTGATTTTTGACCTGAAACACTTAAATTGTCAAAACTTGGATCTGTTTATACATTATTTAGAAATAATTTAATTCCAGTAATGTTTTGAAGAATACGTGTCCCCCGGCCTGGAAGACACAGGCTTCTCTTAATTCAGTGAATCCCGACCCGCTGTCTCTTCCTGTTTCCTCCTTACAGACGTTCGGGCTGGGATGTCTGGTTCCTTGCCTGGAGGTTCTGTCATCAGTCGCTTATTAATTAATGCCGATCCCTTTAACTCGGAACCAGAAAACCTGTGAGTATGGGGGTAAACCAGGACAGCATGTTGTTAAAAGAGTGTCGGAGCCCAGAAAACAGATTTGGAGTTGGCTGCAGGAATTCCCGTACAGTTGACTAGGTGATCCTTTTCCAGCTTCGTTAGCTGATAAGGAAAACTTAGAAATTGTGACGCCTCAGCTAAGCGTCTCCCAGCTTCCTGCACGGGTCCCGCGTCAGTGGTTCCTGAACATCCCCCAGGGTCTGAGGTTTTCTGTAGGTTCAGGAGCTTCTTCTGGGAGCTGACTTGGCCCTTGTTCTTCATGGTCGCTCCCCAGGACCCTGGCTGGCCTTGCGTTGGCACCTCGTCCTCACGCCCTCCCTTCCCCCCCTTCCCCCTGTTGGTCCTGCAGGGGCCTAGGTTCCAGGGCCGGATCTAGGAGATACAGTCCTGGGTTGGGGGTCGCGGGGAAGAAGGCTCCCAGGCTGCCCTGGGGGCTGGTGCTGTGTCCTCTGCCCTGTTTCTCAGGCATCGAGGACTCTGACACGGCAGTTCTTGTGTGTAGGGAGGCCGTTAGAGACAAATGGTGCTTGAAAGCCTGGTCTTCTAGATTTTCCCTTCTGCTGGCTGATGGCAAGGTCTGGGTGGCGTGGCTGGTGGCAGTGGGTTGAATGTTGCTAGCCACGTGTGTCAGGGGTGGTTGGAAGGGTGACGGGAATGTGCAGCTTTGCACAGACTCTGGGGGTTCTGGAGAGCGGAGCCGGAAGTGTGTAGAGTGGCCTCGGTTCAGACACCTGCCGCCCGATGCTGGCCTGCCCAGACGTATCGGCGCCCTCGTCCCGCACCTGCCACGGCTGAGTGCCTGCCCCTCACCCCGCCGCCCCGCTCTGATCCTGACCCTCCCCAACACCTTTCCTCAGTAAGGCCGGAGCCGCGGCCTCCCATGAGCAGTACCCACACGGCCTCCCGAGCTGGATACTTCATTTGTTCCCTTCGCCTGAGACCGCTGAAGTCCCGCACCTGGGAGCTTAGGTGTCCGTGTCTCCCCCCCCCCCCCCCCGTCGTCTTCCATAGGGCGAGACTCGCCTGGGGAAACGGGCTGCTCTCCTCCCTCCAGGCGGGGCGGCATGCCAGGGCCGTGGCTCGGGGGGTCCCCCGATTTGTGGTCATTCCGCCTTTGCCTGCAGTAGCCTCTGGGGCCTGGCTGCCTCCCACTTCCTGGGTCGCTGTGCCCAGTCTCCATTCTCCTTCCCTTGAACCCATGCTGTTTTTCTGGATCGGATCCCTCCCTTTTCCCAGGACCTGTAAATACTGGTCAGCACGTGGTCTTTTGCTCAGAAAACAGTTCTGTCCTGAGCTTTGCTCTCAATAAGCTGTTAGGCACTTGGATTAGATGTGTCATAAAAACATCCACGTGGTGATTGCTTCTCAAATCAGGCTTCAAACGCCTGTTAACCTAAAGGGTGGCAGGGTTCTGATCCGGGCGGTATTCCCTGGAGTTTTTGTGGGAACTGCCATCAGGAATGCCAGGCATGCACTTTTCTCCTTGCTGCCCTTTCCAGATGGAGGGTCAGGGACTCCTCCTTTTAGCCAGCTGCCCTCGAGGGAAAGGAGGGTCCACAGAGCCCCTTTGTGACCCCTGTGGTCTCGATGATGGCTGGGGGGAGGGGGAGGCTGAGAAGCTGGAGTGAAAGGGGTGGACGGAGGGAAGGGAGGTGCTGCCACGGGGGCTGGGATGGACGTTTCCACGTTTAGAGACGGCTGTGATTGGGTCTAGGGATGTTTGAGGCATGTTCTGAAACCCACAGTTGAAGATGTGTGGTATACGTGCTGTGGACACCATCAGGTTTCGCATCGCTGGTGGGCGTGTGAGATGGCGCAGCTGCTCCGGGAAGCAGTCTGGCAGTGCCTCAAAACCCAGTTTCCCCGTGGCCCAGACTGTGCCAGGGAGAACGTGTCTACCCCAGCGTGTGTACTGGTGCTCACACATCTCTAGCGGAGTGCTGCTCAGCCATTGGAAGGGATGAGGCCCTGAGCACGAATGAGCTCTGAAAACGTGCTCGGTGAAAGAAGCCAGACGCAAAGGGCCACACTCTGTGGGTTCCACTTATATGAAACTTGCAGAGTAGGCACACCATGGAGACAGAAAGCAGATTCATGGTTGCCAGGGCTGGGGAGGGTTTGGGGGCTGATGGCTAAGGGGGGGCAGCTTACTTTTGGGGTGATGAGATGTCCTAAAATGGATAATAGTGATGGTCACATGACCGAGTACATTAAAAATCACTGAGTCCTACACTCTAAATGGGTACATCGGGTGGTCTGTGAGTTCTAGGTCAGTAAAGCTGCTCCTGAAGAACAAGGCATGAGTTTTGCCCTCAGGGAGAAATGCTTGGAGGTTGGGAGGCTGTGAAGTGACCCGGGTGGTTCTCACTGGTCTGAAACCCCCTTTGCAGAGAGTATTACACAGAGAAGTGTGTCATGAACAATTACTTTGGCATCGGCCTGGATGCGAAGATATCCCTGGATTTCAACAACAAGCGTGATGAGCACCCAGAGAAGTGCAGGTAGGCAGCGGCTTGTGTGCACACCTGCCCTTTGCATCATCCTTGCTTCTCGTTCCCGGGAGTGAGGTGACTTCTAGAGTCAGCAGAGTGCCAAGGCAGAAGGCATATGTAAAGCCCGAATGCCTTGTTGTCGGAAAGGGAGGTGCTTTTACAAGATGTGGGTGGAACCAGGTCAGAGTCCAGGAGGCCAGCCTGGAGGAGGTGTCTCCCCCTCAGGGCTGGCGTGGTCACGGCAGATTCCACATGAGAAAATGAGTGAGTGCTGTCAGTCGGAAGGGTCTGAGTCTGGAGAGTCGTAAGTCCACGGTGCTGCTGTAAAGGGCCAGGTGACAGAGTGTGCTAAGAAGTGACTGTGCCTGACACGTGAGTCCCCGGCAGCATTGGTGGTGGCTCTGTGTGCTCCTTACCACCGGGCAGAGCTGGGCGGCCCTGTCGGCTCCCCACAGAGCCCCTGAGAGGATGCCCCTCCACAGAAAGGTAGCCACATGAGAGGCCCGAGGGCTGTCCCTGGAGATGTTTGGTTTCTTCCCCTAAATGACCTCTACTCCCCCCTGCCGGCCTAGGGAGGGGATGGAGACAAATGGGCAAGTTTCCTCCTGGGTTGAAGTGGAGATCCAGTCTCCTCCAGGGGAACATGAGAAGTGAAGCAGGGAGTTAACATCTCTCACCTCACCCCTCAGTAATCCCCTGGAGGAGGAAACTGTTGAGCTCTGACATTCTAGAACTAGTGAGGGAGCAGCTGCCATGAGTTTGGGCAGAGACAGCCATTGACGTTGGAGTCGGGGGGGGTTGTCCCTTGCCAGAGAGCCTGCACACTTGCTCCGTGTGCCCCCTGCTCATTTGGTGCCATTATCACTTGGAGGGGTGACACTGGGGGAGCTGGGTGGGAGGGGCTCACACACCTAAGGACTTGTTCTGGTGATCACCCAAGTTCTGTGTAGTTGGAAATTTCTTGGAAAACAAAATCAAGCATAAGAATTCAAGAAACCTTTGAGCTCTGGGGCTCGTGAGTGGTGGAGACTGTCTCCGAAGCCCCCAGGGACATCGTCTGTTCTACAGCTCATGGTGGTGAGCCCGAATCATTTAAAAATAACCCTGTTAGTTCAAAAATAACTAAAAAGGTGTTAGAGTGCACATAGTTTAACAGAGTAAAATAGGTGAACAGGGCCATGCACGATAATACATTTTTAGAACCGTGGGACCCTGATAGGATACTCCTTGAGTTTGTAGCAAGAGCTTTGTAAAGGTCTAAGAGGAATTCCATTTCTAGGAGTCTGTCTTAAAGAAGGAACTGGAAACGTTTGTAAAGAAGTGTGTGCGAAGGGACGACTGCCACATGATTGACAGAGCCCAGGAGTGGGAAGTGGTTGGGTCCAGTCAGAGGGGTTAAGTCGTCCGGCAACGGTGGGGAGGTGCCCCACTGGGGTCAGTCCCGCCTTGAGACGCAGGCTGCGGGGCCAAGTGAACAGAGTCGGTCAGGAGACTGGAGACTGGCTCTTTCACCTGTAAGTGAAAGATTGAGGAAGTACACTAAAGTTTTTTATCCATATGTAGAGAGGTGGGGATTGTGAGGATTATTTGCTCCTTTGTGCTTTTCTGCACTTCCCAGATTTTCCATGGTAAACATAATTTCATAGCTAGAAAAAATCATTATCAGTTTTTTTGTGAGGTTCTGTAATGTCTGTAAGTTGCTTCCTTGGGAGTGGTACTTCTCAGCAGAATTTTACATCCACAGATGTATTTCTTTGTGCATATCTTACACAGACCTATAATGAGGAAATGTCCTTCCTTCCCTTGAGGTGTCTGTGTTGAGAGTGGTGGCTGCATCTGGCCGGTGTGGGATCAGATGCGCTCCTGCAGCTCACGGCGGCGACTGTAGCTCACTGTATAAAGAGAGCTGAGATCCTGTCAGTTCTTTGCTTTCTACCTGCAGGAGTCGGACCAAGAACATGATGTGGTACGGAGTTCTTGGAACCAAAGAGTTGCTGCACAGAACCTATAAGAACCTGGAGCAGAAGGTCCTGTTGGAGGTGAGCAGGAGGGCTCTCCTGCAATTGCAGGCAGTCGGGGGCCCTTCTGGTCCCCTCTTGGCCCTTCTCCTAGCTGGGCGGGGACTCCCTCTGCCCTTTCGGGCCCTTGCTGAGAGCTCAGCTGTGGCCGTGGCCTTGGCCTCCTCAGCCCGGGTTGGGGGGGAGGGGGATTGCTAGTGAAGGACCAGGTCGATGCTGTGCATCTTTCTTTTTTTTTCTTTTTCCGGCGTTTCCACGGCGCAGTGTGATGGGCGGCCCATCCCGCTCCCCAGCCTCCAGGGGATTGCTGTCCTCAACATTCCCAGCTATGCCGGAGGGACCAACTTCTGGGGGGGCACCAAGGAAGATGATGTACGTACTGGGGTCCTGGGTGGCATGGGCCCAAGGGGGGTGTGGGTAATCTCTTCAGGGAGTGTCCACCACTTCAGGCCCCAGTGGAGCATTCTGCCTCGTAGGGCTGAGGTAGTGGTGCAGAGGTAGGGACGGGACTCCCCGCCTGTGCTGGCAGTTGGAGTACAGTGGAGAACAAGACAGATCGGGTCCCCTGCCCATGAGAAGAGAAGCCGAGCAGGACAGATGTGGCCAGGGGTATAGGCATGATGCAGAAGCCAGGCCAAACTCCCAATTTGGGAGCAGTCTGGGAAGGCTTCTCAGAGGAGGGAACATCTACACTGAGACCTGAAAGAAGACTTGGGGTTGGCCAGGTCAGGTGGCGGTAGGGTGCGGGGTGGGGAGGCTGTTCCAGGGAGTTGCTGGAACAGCGTACATGAAGGCTTAATGGTGAGACAGGATGTGGCACGGAGAAAGTTCCTTGACGATGTGCAGTGGGTGAAATGCAGACAGGTTTGAGACCATGTGGGGTTGTGTCATCCAGGAGGAAGTTTGGAATTTCTGCTAAGAACTGTGGGAGGCCTTGATGGTCTTTAACCAGGGACATGGTTTCCTTCATACATAATAGCTAACAGAAATAGTGAACGTGAACTGCACGTTTGAGATGCTCTGGTAGCTGTTGAAAGCACTGGGCAAGAGGTACCTCGGTCCTCATAAGAGCATACCAGTGTTAGCCTTGGTTCACAGATGATGGGACCGAGGACAAAAGAAGTTAAGTGACTTGCTCAAGGTCACACTGCTAGTCAGTGGCAGCTCAGAGATTTGATTCCCGCAGCTGGTTTTGGGGTTTCTCCTAGAAACCCCCTCAGTAATGCATTTGCCCCACAGCTGCTTGTCAGTTAGGACACACCACACCCTGGTGGTGCCCCTGTCTGTCTGTAACCAGAGCAGCAGTCCAGAGAGGGAGCACCAAGGGGTGTGCGGGGAAGTTCAGAGCAGAGGTCAGCTCTTAACACTGGTCCTTGCAGACTTTTGCAGCTCCGTCATTCGATGATAAGATTCTGGAGGTGGTCGCTGTGTTTGGCAGCATGCAGATGGCTGTGTCTCGTGTCATTAAGCTGCAGCATCACCGAATCGCCCAGGTACCGGCCATGGTCCTGCAGGTGGGAGGGACCTGGGAGGCATTCTGGCCCCCACGAGTTTGGAGAGGCAGGGCCTGGCCCAGAACCAGTCTCCTGCATCAGTGCACTCCTTGCACAGAGCCCAGGAGAATGGGTGGTTTTCCAGGACCACCCACGGCCCTGTCTCCTGGCCCAGAGCCCTTCTTCCCCTGCTGTATTTGACAGACGACACTCTTTCAGAATTGGGGCCCCCTTGAACCCTGCCTGAGCTCCCTGCCCTGGCTTTCTCTGGGGGTGCCCACTGTACCTGCCCCCTTCTGTTGAGGTGGGATGAGATGAGACAGGCCCGACCAGACTCGACGCATGCCTGTGGCTTTCAACAGCTGCATCCTGAGTTTGGGAACGGAGGCTGAGCAGTGAGCAGTGGAGAAAGCGGGGTCTCACCTGCTGCTTTAAGGCCCAGCTGGAGAGGGGAGATGGGCGGTGCTTATTTCTGGTGATAGGTTGGGGTGGGCGGTGTTTTAATGCATAATGAAGCGGGGACGCTGATAACAGCTCACCTGAGGCCCACGCAGTGACTTTCCAGTCCTTCCAGCTTCAGTCTGCCCCCACATAGGGTAGGGTGTTTGAGTTTTATGATATTAACTCTTGGGCAGTGTTTTTTGTTGAGAAGAGAAACAGTGCATCGTTAACCACTTGTTGGGAGGGGTTTACCCTGTTCTGGGAGTGTTTGCATGTGTGCAGGGCCCTATGGCTCTTGCTGGTCATGAGTCTCCACCCTGGGCCTGGTGCTTGTATCTGACCACTGAGGTCTCCTTGCTGTGTTTTCAGATGCAGTGCTGGGTGAGGGGACGGGGAGGGTGGGACAGACCCTTGGGCTTCATGAGCTGTGTCCCAGAAGAGGATGCTCTGACCGCAGAGGTGGTCGGCAGTGGGCGTGGTATCCCCCCAGACATCAGCTGATGCGTGCAAGAGCACGGAGGACAGGAAGGCTCCCGCAGTGCTGAGGTACAGCCCCTTAGCTCCTTGGTTCCGCGCGGTGCACAAGTAACGGCTGTGATGTTTGCTCAGTGTCGTACAGTGAAGATTTCCATCCTGGGGGATGAGGGCGTACCTGTGCAGGTGGACGGAGAGGCCTGGATCCAGCCTCCAGGATACATTCGGATTATCCACAAGAACCGGGCACAGACGCTCACCAGAGATAGGGTAAGAAAGGCTGCCTTCGGGGACCCGGAGAGAACACTCCGGTCCCAGGGCTCACCTGCAGGCACACCTCTGCACCTTCTCGGAGAAGACCCAGAGTTTCTAGTGTTTCGTTCTAGGAATTTACTTTTGTTAGACACAGAGCTTAAGTGAACAGGGGTGTGATTTCCAGGACCATTCCCACTCCTCAGTGTGAAACAGAATTGTGTTTCTCCCTTTCTGGCTGTGGTCCAGCGAGTATCCCAGCAGTGTTTGCTGTTGGACATGTGCCTGCCTCTCGAGAGAGTGGTGCACCGTGTGATACCACCATCCTGTGCCCTAGGCATTTGAGAACACGCTTAAGTCCTGGGAAGACAAGCAGAAGTGTGAACTTCCTCGCGCTCCATCTTTCTCTCTGCACCCGGAGATCCTGTCCGAGGAAGAGGCCACCCAGATGGACCAGTTCGGGCAGGCGGCGGGAGCCCTCATCCACAGGTGGGCCCTCGCCTTCCCTGTGAGGTTAGCCTCCTCCCGGCTGGAGCCCCTGGGCCCCTGACGGCCTCGGGTCCCCACGTTCACCGCTGGGCTGCCGGCGTGGCGTCCCTCCTCCCAGGCCTCATGTGCCAGTCTGCCTCCTTCACCAGGGCCCAGCTGGGGTTTCTGCAGGTCCTTGGCTTTGGTTCATTTCAGAGATTGCTTGGAGTTGATGTAGATGGAAGCTTAAAATCCACAGGTGTTTTCAGAGCCAGTTCACAGATGTAAAAACCTATCTTGGATTCTTACTGCCACTTCTGCTTTATCCCAGAGAGCAGGTTTGTTAGTAAAAAACAAACCTTGTAGTTATTAGAAAGTAAATACCCCACCAGTACCCAAAGGCATTTCCTTCTTTTACTCTGCCTTTGAGAAGTGCCTTCTGGAGCCACTGGCGACGACCTTCTGGCACGGTGGTCCCACTCTGCCACTGTCCGTTCTCCCCACCCGCCCGGGCACCGGCTGCTGTCGTGCCTCACTCTGGAAGGGTCGTTCAGCTTGGTGATCTATGCCCTCTCAGTTGCCAGATCCCCTGACCCTCTTCGGTCACCATCTGGTTCTGGTTTTCAATGTATTTCCCCTCCCCGGTCACCCCCTGAGGCCGCATGCTGCCCTGGTGCTCCTTGACTTTGCCTCTGTGCTGCTCTGTGGCTTCCTCCTCCTCTGCTCCGCTGGGAGCACTGCCGCCCTGCGGGCTCTGGGCTCTGCCTGCCCTTCTGGGCGGTTCTTTTCCTGCTCTTTCCCCCGGCATCAGGCTCTCAGCCTGTGGGTTAGGATTCTGGTAGGCACTTCTGGTTCCATGGTCCTTCTGGGTCCACACCCCTGAGAACATGGCCTGCGCTGTGTCCTCTGTCTCCACTTCTGCCACTGCCACCCCCCCGCCCCGCCCCCTGTGGCCAAATCAGTATCTGGGCTCAATGACTTCACTTCTTATGTTGTTTTTCAGTTCCTGACTGTATAACAGGCTTCTAGCTTCCTTCTATCTTCATTCTTGTCCCCTCAAGCCCTGTGGCAGCCCCGCAGGTGGGGACTTGCCACCATTGTCTTGTTTAAAGTCCAGCAGCTGCCCCTGGTTTTCCCCAAGGTAGGACAAGTGGCTCCTCATCCAGCTCCCCTGACCTGTGTGCCCCCTCTGTCTGCTCTGGGGCTCTTGCTGTGTCTGACCCTGTCACCACCCTATATCTCTGTGGGTCCCTCGGGCAAGGGGCTCTTGCCTGGGGCCGTGTCCTGGGGTCTGAGCCTTTTGAACCAGGATCGTCCCCATAGAGAAGGGTCCTGTCATCCTCATTTATAGAGTGGGGAGGCAAAGTCCCCTTTCAGGAACGATCAGCTGTCCCCACATAGCAGGCCTACAAACCATGCTTCCTGTCAGCTTGCCATTTTACAGGGTGTGAGTCTCATTTTGGGTATTTTCCTCCCTCGTTGAGTTTCTGGAAAAACTTGGATTTTGGTGTCACATTTCCCCTTTAAGACCTGCTCTGTTTGCCATTGGCTGAGCTGTGTCTGCGTTGGCCCTCTGGGCTGGACCTGGGCCGGTCTTCGAGCGAGGTGATGTTATAGGCTGTCCGTTCCTCTGGTCTGATGAGTGCTGTGTTTCTTTCTTTCTAGTATCCGGGAGATAGCTCAGTCCCATCAGGACATGGAGCAGGAACTTGCCCATGCCGTCAATGCCAGCTCCAAGTCCATGGACCGAGTGTACGGCAAGCCCAGAACCACAGAGGTGCCTGTGCTTTTCAGGTTTTGCTCCTCTGGAGTCCTGTAGCCCTTGGGCCTTCTACATGGGTGTCATTCTGGTTCCTCTCAGGGGCTGAACTGCAGCTTTGTCCTGGAAATGGTGAATAACATCAAAGCTCTGCGCAGTGAGACGGAACTGCTGCTGGCTGGGAAGGTGGCTCTGGTAAGCCGAGAGGCTGGCCCTCACTCTGCATGTAGTGACCTCTGTGCGGAGGGCAGCAGATCTTAGCCTGGTGTTCCTGGCCTTAAGAATTCTAGACTCAGTGTTGGAAGGGGCCGTGGAGGTCATCTGATCTGGCCACATGGCTGGTTCTCAAACCCTCTGGCCACATCTCAACCACATCATCTCTAGCATGTTAGACTCCTGTGGACAGAACCACCTTTGTCATTGCACACGAAATTCTGCCTTAGAAATCCGCAGGCGTGGAGCCATCTGCCTGTGAGCAGGCAGGCAGGCCCTGTTCTCAGACGCACTGCACTGTCGCCCTTCCTCACTCAGCCCTGCCAACCTGGCTGAGGAGTCAGCCCTGGGCAAGCACACAGGTCGGGTTTCACCGCATTGCAGAAGCTAAAATAGGAAAGACCTGAGGGATGGCCTGGCCAACCTTCTTGTTTTAAAAAATGAGGACGTGGAGGTCAAGGAGGTAGAGTGATTTGCTGAAGATCACGCATCTGGAGAACCACCCCAAAAAGCTAGTTTCCATGTTCTCTGTTCTTCATTTCAAAATCGTCTGCTCTTCTGAATGTGATGACTGCTTCTTTGCTGCCTCAGCATTTCCTGCACTCTGGTGCAGGCGGTCTGGTCCTGTCCTCTTTCTGACATAGTGGTCTCAGGGTAAACCGAAGTTGGTGAAGTGTCAGCGCTGCTCATTCAGCGTTCAGACGAGCTTGGTTTATTCCAGTACTTATGAGAGGAGAGTTTTAATTTCCTCACCTGATCCTAGTTAGAAGGGGAGGTTCTGAATTTGGCCCCTTAGCCAGTGCTGTATGACTTAGTTTCCTCAGGAATTTTTGTAAGAACTGTCTGAGAAACAGATCGCTTTCCCTGAAGCAGACTGCATGCCTGCATGGGGGCTTTGCTGTGGCCCCAGCTCCTCACTGCTAATAACCAGCTGTGTCTCTCTTTCCTTCCTGCCTGGAGCAGCAGCTGGATCCCCCTCAGAAAGAGCGGCTTGGGGCTGCTCTCACAGAGATGGACCAGCAACTGAGGAAGCTGGCGGACACCCCCTGGCTGTGCCAGCCCATGGAGCCTGGTGATGAAGAGGTATGTGGTGGGTCACAGGGCTTCAGCTTGGGCACCCCTGGATGCAGTGGCTCTCCCTTAAGTACCTGTAATCACTGTGATCTGTGCAGCTTTGAGGTTAAGATGGTGTCCATTTTGCAGCCCCTGATAGGGCTTCTCAAGACTTCTCTGTTAAAACGCCTTGGAGGTATGGAAAAAGACTGACAGGTAGGAACGAGTTGGGAGTTAGTATTTTGATGACTGGGCACTTGCCGCCTTCAGAAACAGATGGCAGGGGTGGCCAGGAAGTGGATAGAAGGCTGAGCGTAGCCCCACTGTGTGTCCCTGGTGTGAGGACACATTGGTTGGATAAATGGCAGCTTTTTGAGTTTGTTGTTGACAGGGACAGAGTTGGTGTGGTCCACTCAGTCACACTTTTCTTTTGCATGTGTTTCGAGACTCCAGCTTGCCATACTCCCTATAGCTGGGACAGATAGGACCCTGGGTATACTGCACCCTGGGATGTTGTTGCAAGAGCCCAGGAGAGGTGCTTGTTGGACGGTCAGTTTTGTGGGCAGCATCTTGATAAAGGCGAACTGTAGATTGTCTTTTTTATCAGGGATAGAACAGAAGTGGGCCAGGAGAAAAGTTCATCGTAGGATAGGGTACTACAGTCTTGAAAGAGAAAGAACCGTTAGACTTTACACATCTGGCACCCCTACCGCCAGTTTTGTTTGTTAGAACCTGTTGGAAGCAGTAAGGTGAGGGTACAGAGGAAGGCTACAGCAGTCTGTCCCACTCTCCTCTGAAAATGAAGGCATTTGTTGACAAGTGCAAACCTTGCATGGAAAACTGACTCTTAGACCTTCCAGTGAAACAACAAAACTCAGTAACTTAAAATATGAGGACATTTTGGTTTAAAAGGACTGGCCACATTCAGTTTGGTGCTACATTTCTACTAGCATAAAAATAGGACAATTATTTCTTTAAAAGCAAAAAAAAAAAAAAAAAGTTGACAAATCTAATCTGCAAGTTAATTCTTTGAAAGTACAGTTGACTCTTGAACAATACAGTTTGGACTGTGTGGGTCCACTTATATATAGGCTTTTTTCTGATAAATATAGTGCAGTACTTTAAGTGTATTTTCTCTTAGGATTTTCTTAACATTTTCTTTTCTGTAGCTTTTTTGTAAGAATACAGTATATGATATACATACAAATATGTGTTAGTTGACTGTTTATGTTACTTAGTAAGGCTCTTTGGGGAGTCAGAAGTTATTCATGGATTTTCAACTTCATGGGTGGGGGTTGGCACCCCTGACTTCTGTGTTGTTCAGAGCTTAACTGTAAAGTACAAGAAATTAAATCACTCTGTGGCACATATAATTAAGGAAAGTTTGGATAGTATGAAGTGATAAAGGTTATGTAACAATAGATAAGAGAATAAATCAAGTTATACTATTTTCAAAGAAATGCTAATTTTAAAATCTTGCTGAAACCATTGAAACTTCCGGAGAAATTTAAACTATACAAATTGAAATCTAAAGACATTTTAAAGGGGGGGCAGAGCAAGATGGCGGAGGAGTAGGAGACCTGGATTTCGTCTGGTCTCAGGAATTCAGCTGAATGGGGATCAAACCATTCTGAACACCTACGAACTCAACAGGAGATCAAAGAAAAGAATAGCAGCAACTCTCTGAACAGAAAAACGACCACTTTCTGGAAGGTAGGACGTGCGGAGAAGTGAATCCGAGGCGATATTTGGGAAGATAGACCACGGGGGAGGGGGCCGGCTACCAGCAAGTGATAGAGCCGCGGAGCACAAAATCGGACCTTTTAGAAGTCGGCTCCGCTGAGGGACATCGCTCCAGTGGCTAAGCGGGGGGTGGAACCCTCGCGGGACAGTGTGGTCTCAGGACCCTCGGGGTCACAGAAAGACCGGGGGTGCCTGAGTGCGGCAGAGCTCCCAGGGATCGGAGCGGGGAGGCCGGCTGCAGAGACGGAGCCGAGGCGCGGGCTCTCAGCTCGGGGTGGCCATAAACTGTGATCCGCGGCCCAGTCGGGCCACTGCGCCTCCAGCAGGGACCCAACAAGCGGCAGATCTGGGGAGACTCCCCTTCCTCCCCCGGGAGGAGCGGCGCGGGAGCGCACCGCAGGGATCTGCTGGGTTTGGAGACTCCACACGGGGTCGGGTGCCGGAGATAGAAACGCCCAGTCACAGGCCGGATGATCACAGAGTGCGGCCGGAGACGGGGAGACGGGAGTGAGTGACTGCTTTTCTCTGGGGGCGCACTGAGGAGTGGGGCCCCGAGTTCTCAGCTCCTCCAGGCGGAGATTGGGAGGCCACCATTTTCACTGTCGTCCTCCATAGCTGTACCGAGAGCTTGCAGGGAACAAAAACTCCCGAGAGCAAACCCGAGCAGCTTGCGTAGCCTGGACCGACAAGGGCGGGGCAATTCCGCCTCCGGCAGAGAGGTTTGGGAACCACGGCAACAGGCCCCTCCCCCAGAAGATCAGCACAAAGAGCCAGCAAGCCAAGACCAAGTTTACCGATCAATGAGAATGGCAGAACTCCAGAGCTAGGGGAATTTTTACCATGATTCTTTAGTCTTTCAAAGTTATTTTTTTTAACTTTTTTTTTTGAATTTTTCTTTTTCCCCCAACATCTTATAAATCCCTTTTTAAAAAAGCATTTTTATTTTTCATTTTTAGAGTCATATTCTCTCCCTTCATTGTAGTTACCTTTATTTTTGACATATATATATATACAAGTTGTTCTCTCTTTAAAATTTTGAGATACAGTTTCTTCTAACAGATCAAAATATACCCTAAATCTCTAGTGTATGGCTTTGTTCTAGTCTCCTGCCTGATCACATTTTCTACCTTTTTTTTTTTTAAATTCTCTTTTTTCTTTTTTCAAACAACTTCTTATCAATTCCTTTTATAAAATCTTTTATAACTTTCATCTTTTTTTAAATTTTTAATTATTTATTTGAGAGAGAGAGCACAAGGCGGGGGTAGGGTCAGAAGGAGAAGCAGACTCCCTGCTGAGCAAGAAGCCTGATGCAGGACTTGATCCTGGGACTTCAGGATCATGACCTGAGCCGAAGGCAGTCATTTAACCAACTGAGCCACCCAGGCGCTCTATAATTTTCATCTTTACAGTCATATTCCATCCCTTCATTGTATTAACCCTTATTTTTGTACATATGTAAGTTTTCCTTTCTTTAAAATTTTGGGAGGCACTTTCTTCTAACAGACCAAAATACACCCAAAATCTAGTGTGTGGCACTGATCTATGCACCAGCCTGATCATATTTGATCATATTCTGTTTTTTTGTTTTGTTCTGTTTTTGTTTGTTTTTATCTTTCTCTTTTTTTCTTTTCTTTTTTCTTTCTTTCCCTTTCTTTTCCCCTGGTTTCAGGTCTTTTCTGATTTGTATAGAGTATATTTCTGGGGACATTGTTACCCTGTTAGCATTTTGTTCTCTCATTCATCTATTCTCCTCTGGACAAAATGACAAGACAGAAAAAAATCACCTCAACACAAAGAATAAGAGGCAGTACCGACTGCCAGGGACCTACTCAATACGGACATTAGTACGATGTCGGAACTAGAGTTCAGAATAATGATTTTGAAAATACTTGCTGGGCCTGGAAAAAGCATGGAAGTTATTAGAGAAACCCTTTCTGGAGAAATAAAAGAACTAAAATCTAACCAAGTCGAAATCAAAAAGGCTATTAATGAGGTG